TGGAACCCAGGATGTCAGAGCTGGGAGGGCCCTTGGAACCCAGGATGTCAGAGCTGGGAGGGCCCCTGGAACCCAGGATGTCAGAGCTGGGAGGGCCCTTAGAACAACAGACTTTCAGAGCTCAGAAGCATGTCAGGAACCAGCTAGTCCAACCTTCTTGCTTTAAAAAACAAGCCAGTTTTATTAATGTCTTTGGTTTTCACACCAGTTATTTCCCAACATCCTCCACTCTGTCTTGAATCCTCCCTGAAAACAAAGAAAAGCAGTGAGGCAGATTTCACTGGCCAGGCCCCTCCTGACTGCAGTGTGCAGCATCCCACACCTTCCCTCTCCCTCTTCTCTGACAGGAGCAGGGATGTTTCCCAGATGGGAGGGGAAGGAAGTCACTTGGCCAAGGTCACACACCAAGTCGGAGGCAGGACCAGCAGTCAATCCAGAAACATTTACGAAGCGCCCGAGTCCCTTTACTACAGCCTCGGTATTCTTCCTCCTTCCCCACAGCTGCCGGGTGGGCAGGAGGCTCCGTTGCCCATCATCACGGGGCGCTCTCTACTCTAGCCCAGTCCTGGATGTCCGCTCGGCCAAACAGGAGGTAGAAGGTCACCCCACACAGGTTGACGGCTCCTGACAGAAAGAAGACATTCCTCCAGCCAGACAGGGTGTCCTGTGAACACAAAACAGGGAAGTCCGGTCCATGAAGCCGCATGAGCTGGGGCGACTATGGGGCCAAAGGGAGCTGCACCCTGGGCTGGCTGCCCACGTCAGGATGGTGATTCCACAGTCAAAGGTGAGAGAGGTGGAAATTCGTGGGCTAAAAGGAGAGTGGGCCGATTCGGGAAGGAGATTCAGGAGGGCTCGGGGAAGAGCCTGGGCACCAGCTGGGGTAAAGGGCGGCCAGCTTAGCATCAACTCCTGAAGAACGGCCCTGGCCCTGCCTCCGAGCTGCCCTTCGCTACCTCTAACAAGCTTAACAAGCAAGCACTGAAGGTCTGCACACGTGGGTAATGGGCCACGGCCAAGATATTTGTAAAGTGCTCAGTCCAGTGCCTGGCACGTGGTAGGCACCTAATAAATGTTTGTTCCCTCCCTCTGTCTCCTCATGGAGCAAAGGAAAGGAATAAGGTAAAAAAAATCCTTAGACATAGAACATCGGAACATAGATCATAATGCTAGAACTTAGATTTAGCATTCAAAGAGAATTTAGACATTGAATTTTAGAGCTGGGAGGGACCTTAAAACAGAGTAACAGAAGGGGGGGGAATCTCGAAAGTGGGAAGGGACTTGAAGTCACAGAATGTGACATCTAAGGGCTGGGAGGACCCTCAGAACACAGGATGTCAGAGCTGGGACGGGCCTTAGAACACAGGATGTCAGAACTGGGAGGACCCTTAGAACACAGAATGTCAGGGCTGGGAGGGCCCTTAGAACACAGGATGTCAGAGCTGGGTGGGCCCTTAGAACACAGGATGTCAGAGCTGGGAGGGCCCTTAGAACACTGTTCTCTCATTTTATAGATTCAGGTCCATTCCATAAACATTTATTAAGCCCCTACTACGTGCCAGAAACTATGCTAAAGATTTGGGACACAAAGACGGGAATGAAATGGACCCTGCCCTTAAGGAGATTACATTCTACTGGTGGGATATAACTGTACAGGTGGGTAAATGATCAGGTAATCTGAGGAGAGACAAAGTACTAACCACTGAGGGGCATTGGGGAAGGTTTGAGAGAAATTGTGCCTGAGCTCAGCCTTGGAGGAAAATAAGGAGATGAGGGCAATCAGGCTCAGAAAAAAAGAAAATGACTTTCCCAAGACCACACGGTTTTTTAATGTCAAAGTAAGGACTAGAACCCTGTTCTCCGGATTCTTTGATGAGGCCAGAGAACCTTTTGCTGGTGTGATGTAGTGGAATGCCCACCATACTTACATACAAGAAGCATGGATTACTTTGCTGTGTGTTCCTGCACAAACCATTTTTGGAATGGACAGACATTAATAAGCACCTACTATGTGTGAAGCACTGTCCTAAGCTCTAGGAATACAAAGAGAACACAAGACAGGTCCCGCTCTCAAAGAGCTCACCTTCTACCTGGGTGAAATAACTCATACAGCAAAGTTCTGTTTCAGTGCAGGCGGAAAGTCAGAGTGGTCCCGAGGCTGGAGCCACAGGGCAGACGGCCAGGCCCAAGGTCCTGAGCAAGCGTTGTAGGAAGGATTGGTAGGATCTGGATGGGTGAGGTTTGGGTTAAGGCAGTTGGGGGATGGTCTCTAGGCCTGTGGGATTCAGGTGGGAGCAGTTGAGCCTCGTGTACAAAGTGGGGATGATATCTGCCGTGTGCCTCTGGGGTTCCTGTGAGAGGGCTATTCTCTTCCCAGTTACCTGACTGCCGAGGAATCCGGCCACACTGGGTGCCACCATTCCCGAGAGATTGGCCAGGGTGTTAATGACTCCATGCAGGAAGCCTGCATACCTGAATTAGGGAAAAAAGAACAGCAGAAGCCAGAAAGTGGTTTTTAACTTCTTTCATTCAACCACTTCGATGATTCTCTACTGTGTGGCCAGCCCTGTAGGGGAGACCAAAGAGGGTCCCTGCCGTCAGAGAGCTTAGTCCAATAGAAGAGGCATGTTGCTGTGGAGGGAACAGCACTGAGGGATGTAGTAGGCCCCTTGAGAGGAAATTGTTTCTTGTTTTTTTATTTATTTTTATTTTTTATTAATTTATTTTGATTTGTCAACAATCATTTCCATGAGCTTTTGAGTTTTAAATTTTTCTCCCCCTCCCTCCCTGAGAGGAAACTTTGATGGCCCATTGGAACCATTAGATTAGGAGCTCCTCAAGGGCAGCGAATGGCACATTTTGTATCTCCAGTGCTTATCACAGTGCCTACCACATGTTGTTTTTGTGGTTGTTCAGTCATTTCAGTCGTGTCCGATTCTTTGTGACCTCATTTGGGATTTTCTTGGCAAAGCTACTGGAGTGGTTTGCCATTTCCTTCTCCAGTTCATTTTACAGATGAGGAAACAGACAAACTGTGACTCGTCCAGGGTCATACAGCTACTAAGTATCCAAGGCCAGATTTTGAACTCAGGTCTTCTTGACTCTAGGCCTGGAGCTCTATCCACTGTGCCACTTCATTGCCCTGCCTGGCACATAGTAGACACTAATTAATGCTTATTGACTGACTAAGAGAACAACATTCAATTTGTTAGGAATCTTTGACCCTCTCACCTCATCCCATTCAGAAAAGAGGAGGCAGAGACTGACCTGGGGGCAACATCCAAGAGATTCACGGCAAAGCCGGCACCTGTCATGCTGATGAGGGTCATGGAGAGAGTGAACAGGATGACGACGGCGATGTAATTACAGCCAACGTACGACACCTTGAGCACCAGGCCTGCTGGGCACAGCATTCCTTGGTAAAGACACAAGGACAACATTTCCTCTGCCTCTTTCCTCTCTCCTCTTGGTTCACCTGGGATCTCTTCCTTCCTCCTTCTCCTCCCTCAGCCTCCCCCACCTCCATTCTCTGTCCCTTTCTCATGGCCCTCTTCCCCATCTAGGCCTCTTCTCCTTCACTCATGCGTTCATTTATTCCACAAATACTTGTTGGGTGAAAGCACAAGACTCGTGCTGGCTCATACACACCCCACCCAGGCCTCGCTTTTAAGCAAATGCATCATGTTTCCAGGGCTCAGTTGAATGTATCCAGCTGGACTGACCCACAGGGCTTCAGTAAGGGACGGGAGAAGGGAGGTGGGGTGGGGAGGGACCCAAGGGCATCAGGCCCATTCTTACCCAGGGCTGTGAAGAGTTTCCTCATTGTAGCCAGCTGGAGCAGGCTCTTGGCTACCAAGAAGTCTCCCAGGAGCCCTGTGCCTATATGACCCAGCCAGTTCCCAATGTGTGGAGGGGCACTCAGGAAGCCACTCTAAGGAATAACCCAGGGCCAGAAGGCCCCATGGAATCAGGAGGTGGGAGATCTTGGGGAGGGGGAAAAGGGAGGAAAGGAAAATGAGGAGGAATAGAAGATGAGAAAGGGCAAGAAGGGAGGAGAGGGTGAGGGAGAAGAGCAGCTCTGGAAGAGGACAGAAATTCCTCCCTGGAAGTTACCACAGTGAGGCACACACACCTAGAATGAAAGGGTCAGAATGGGGAGGAACTTTAGAGTGCAGAAGGTCAGAGCTGGAAAGAATCTTAGAACAGAGCATGATAGAGCTGGAAGGGACCTTAGAATATAGAA